TAATACAATGGTGACAGCAACCAACTGATTTGACTTACAGTTTTGTTAAAACAAACATTACATAACCTATTCGATATAGTCTATAAAATAAAGAAATATTACACCTGATAAGTGTTAAATAAAGGTGCGACAAGAGGGAACCAGATGTGTCTACAATAAAAAGAAATGAACTGCAGTATCAGTCTTCATTGGATGCCAGATGAATTCTAACTGTTTTCATGTGAGAACAAATTGTAGTCAGAGGAAAATACAGCTTTTGAGGGTAGGAAATAACCTTGCTGGTTCAAATTTCTACCTGGCCCAACTTTTGTAAATGCTATAAAAGGGCAGTACTAATTTATCTGTAGCTTAGCCGATTTCAACAACCACTGACTGTACAGTCTTTGAGTACATTATATTAGGCCATTCATATTTCGGGCACCATTACACGCCTGATTGATAAATAAGAAGTTGTCAGTATGTAAAACTGCTGCAGCATAGCTATTTATGTGTGATCAAAGAGGCTAAAATTAAGAATATATGAACTCACATGACTACTTATTTGAACAGAGAAAAGCTATTAATAGGGAGTTTTTCTTAATTTGGAAGAGGTTACGTAATTACTAGCTAAGCAGTGATTATGATGTACAGTAAGCGACAGATGCCTCGACTGCTCAACTGTTCCATAAGGAAGATGCAACTCACTTTGAAGCTTTCATAAGTAAGGTTAACTATTGCAATTAAACAGAAGTAAACGCACGCACACTGTTATAAACTGTCTCTATTATGTGTTAAGCACTGGTATCATACAGCTGCGGAAACCCTTCCAGGTGCAATGGGATGTAGGTCGACTGTCTGACGAATAAAGCTTGAGTAGTTAGATTGATGAGCAACAACCCCCTGAAAAAAGCCCGTATAGGAATACCATGAGAGATGAAGACTTTTGTTGAGAAGTAAAATTATCATGGAATGAAATCGGTTGTTTATATCATAACAATTAGAGATCACAGATATGTGGCTGATTTGATGTAATGTCTGATCCTGCCACTCACGCAATAGGTTTGGCTCATAGATTGTCCCTGGTAATTCCGTTATGATTTAACCAGAGAGAAGAAAATCAATTCACCAAATACTCGACTATTCGGTTAAACCAACACCAATTTTAGGGTGTACTGGATTACCTGACTTATCTGTTGCTACTTGGCTTCTCGTTAATAGTGCATAACTAGAATAGGAAACAATTTTTCCGAAAGCTATAATTCTTACTTATTAAAAACGACAAACAATGTGGTATTCAACTGCAGTTCGACTAATTTTTGTTATTTATATATATTTTTTCGACACCATGATTCTGTTATATATTCTAAGAAAGCGAAAAGGTCATGGGATCAGTTTACTGTGACAGGGAGAGAGGAGGTTTAGATAGACTATCGTATAGTTTGGAACCTTCGCAGGTGAGTAATTAACAAAACTCGCATAGAATACAAGAGACGGTTAGTGTTAGATTGTACACATTGTCCCAAAAGGCTACATTTATATTATAAAACCTAGGAGTAAAATAAGCTGTAGTATGATGGCACTTTAAAAAAATACAGATGATGCTACCTAATCTAATGGAAGGAAGGCTGAAAACCTTTCCGAATATTTATATAATGTTTTATGGTCTGAAAGTAACAACTAGGGGTCTACCGACGACACATCCATTGCAACAATAATGCCCTCACTCATGGTATATATTGCAGTGGTTCCTAAAACCGCTATCTAGACTAAAGCCTGGTTAGTCAACAAGGCATGACGGACTCTATCATAAATTGATTGTCTCTTCACACTTACCCGTAACGGGAATTTTTGAATGTCTCTAACTTCGATGAGACTACTCAAGAATTGGAATGACGCAGTTATCAACCACCCCCCCCTGTAAGGAGAAAAACAGGCAGCTGTTATCGAATTACTGACCTGTAAGTTTGACATACATAATACCAAAGGTGTTAGAAACAATCTTAAAGAATCAGCTGTTATCTCGCGTGGAGAAACACGACCAACTGGCGCAGGAACAGCATGAAATCAGAACAAGTAGGACCTGCTTAACAGACTTATTACGACCTAAACGGAACTGAGTAGAAGTCATAGATAACAAGCTACTGGTGGACGTAGTTTTCATCTATTATGGCAAAGCATTCAATAACGTGTCCCACTTAGGCCTCCTTAATAAGCCAAAAAGGTTTGGATGAGACCAGTGCCTATGTGATCTACTTAATGTCTACCTGGCTGGGGGAAAGAGAATGGCAAAGATAAGCAATGCACTATAGGTTGGAAACCGGTGCCGAATGGAGTGCCACAGGGTGTTGCTCGAATTCCCTTGCCATTCCAATAACATAGACGAATTTCTGAAAATCCTTATACCGTTTTTGTCATTATTTGCGGACTATATTACGATCTGGAAAACTATAAGTAAGAATGGCGACAGGTCAGTCTTACAAGGTGGTCTAAATAAATTAACCAAGCGGTTCACTCTTTCGTAACTGGTTTCAGGAAAAGGTCGGTAACGCATTCAAATCAGGGAATTTACATGTCGTACTTCTTGGGGGACACAGAATTACCCGATGCTAAGGAACAAAAGGACTTAGGAATTATTGCAAGGTATGACTTGAAAATATCCGCATACTGTAATACAATTAAAGCTACGGCTTTTCGAATGCAATGGGCACTTGAAAGGCCTTTTAAACGCTAAGTGAGTCTAGGTCTGAAGTACTCTACTCAGCATATGTCAGACCTTATCTAGAATACTGTATAATACCGGCTAGTTCATTCTACGAGGAGGCATGTGCGCAAAGGATGGAAACTAAGTTAGTCAGTAGCATCTCTCAACTTTTTTATGAGAATTGACTGGAACATCTACACCTGTTCTCATTATCATACTAAAAGAGGGTGCCCTGGCTATTAAACTGTTAGTAAATTAATTAAAGAAACTTATGCTCACGCACTTTTAAATATCCTCGACATAGTAATGAGTGACTGGATTTGGACATAGACTTTCATTCAGTGGATAGCCAATCAAAATCCCAATTCACATGATTTGGCCTGGGGAACTGGACAGTAGCATAGGCCTTCAACTAGGGGGTTTCACTCTCAGTGATACGGTAAACGCCACACTCACAGTATCACGCGTTACTTGTGTAACACCTCAACTAGGGCACGAGATGAACAGACAAGTTCACAGTTTTGGAGGATCCTTTGTACATAAAGTTGTTTATAATAGCATCTCATGTTTTATGGTAATTAGTTGGAACAGTATAACTTCCATTGTGGATAAAAGTATAACTTCATTTCGCGTTCCGAAGTCAACACTGAAAATACACTAGCTAGCAGAAGCATTCAAAGGCATGCGCTTTGAGCTACAAGAGCATTTCTATACCATCACCTTGGCACTTCACATTCAAATCAACTTCCATTATACATTGTTAGGGACTAAATAATCGTTAATGGATAGACTAACCGTATCGTTGTAGTTTGAGGTTCTTCATTTGTGAACATGTCTCTATACGGAGTCAAGTAATAGAACACCAAGTACTACGAAGCGTATGTTAACTAAGCCATAAAATCCTCACATTCGTCAGAAAAATAATACACTGTTGTGTAGGCAAAAGTTAGTGAAGAGAACCTTTTTCCTCACTCTACAAAGTAGCCAATAAAACTGCTTACCCATAAGTGCTATAGCGAACGCGTCACACACGATTCTATTCTTATTGAGATCAAAACTAAGAAGTACACTAATATTTGGGATGCACACGACCAGTCAGAAAATCCAGTTACCTAGCATTTATGTGAATACGCCTATCACAGTACAGCATCACTCAAATTAATGATATCAAATCGCCTTTCAAAATTCAGAGAAATTTGGACTGACACTAAACCAATGATCAACTGTGATTTTCAACTGAATGAAGTATTTATTAATTCAGTGGAGAATTGCCCATATACATCACCTCAAGGTAAACAACATCAGAAATAATTCAGATGCAGCACAGCGTAACACCTGTTGTGGTATTTCACTGTTACTTAACCAAAGTGTGAAAGTCCTTTTTACTAAGAATTCAAGGAATACTAAGTAAAGGAGACAGTCAGCTATACATCTCGTACTGCTCTATGTTTTCCAACTAACCAAACCACACACAACGCCTCTAAACTCAGCCCAACATATAACGCCTACAAAATTAAAGTATCTCTCTGTTACTTTATGCAGGTTAAGCCAAATTTAGTTAGTCGAGATACCAGACGGTATATGCAAAAGATCAAAACGTAGTCAAGCTATCCAGATACCAGTGGACCGCATTAATAAAGCAAACATAAAAACCTTTAGTATTATCTAAGCAAAGCTGTATTTCAACTAGTGAACATTTCAAATATAAATAACGCATCTCGCCTACTAGGAATATTCAAATACCAGGTGCACTACTTATACAAAATTGTGTTCGGACCAAGCAAAGAATTAGGGCGTGATTCACAAAATCTAATGCTTCTGTTTTAATTATTCGGAAATACTCTAGACTATAGTGAAACAAGCACAAAACCTGATGCACCTCCATTAAACCAAGGTGTACAATGAAATGAAACTACTGACGAAAAGTTCCTCATGATTCACCGCTGTTGCAAATCGAGTAAATTCAGAACACAATAACATCTTACACAACTATACTTAACCGAATATTCACCAACGAACTAGGTCTATGCGTCCCTACAGACACTATACTTCAAACTACTTTTACAAGAAAGAAGACAACAAAACGCACCATGTTACGTAATGTTTATTTTTAAGCACATTCAGCATATAAAGGCACCATAAGCTAAAGTGAAGCAAAAATGTTAGATAGTCTAAGTTGATTGTACGGAAATGCAAAGTAATGTCATGTGAATATGCGAGATTACATATGGGATCTGAAAAAAGTCAAGTCATCCGCAAAAAACTAATATCAAAATGACCAAAACGAAAGCGCTGTGTAATAGACATATGGAAGTAAAATTTACCTACAGCTGCCTGAAAATTCAGTAACTGGTGTATATAAAGTGTTTGGGTTAAACGGGTGATTAGAACAATTTATGGGAGTAAATGTTAGTACAGATGATTCATTTGGGAATTCAGACAAAACAGCTGATTGAGGAGTGGCTTGACTGGAGGACGCCGAGTTATCATTAAAAACCTGAACTTTGTAATTTGGATCAAATGGTATACCACGTAGGAGACAAACCTCCCTTTTAAGAGCTAATATTTGAGTTTGCAGGATCAGATTGGACTTCTCAAGATATCTAGCACGTAGTGCTATGCTATCTTCTCGACGTTTACGATTGTCCCTGGAACGTTTGGCCGCTAGATTATTCTTCAGTCTCCGCAGAAGATAACGCTCGTCTTTATTTGAAGTTTTCGCTTTTCTGGATGAACTAGTTACTGCACTACAATCGGAATTGCAGTCTGACGAGCTCACAGTTGAACCTTTAGTACTCAGTGATACACGTTTGTCATTGAAATTTGATGAACTCGTCGTCCCCTGCTTGCGACTTCGTCTTCGCGTTTTTCTCTTTGGGTTTTGAACAGTTATGTAGTCTTGCAATTCAGTAGAAGTAGACGGCAACACAGAACATACATATGGCTGACTGGCACCTGAATGAGAACAAACCACGGCGGAGTAAGTAACAGGCGGAGTTATACCCATAGGGTTGATGATGTGCTGTTGCTGATTGAAATTATTTAGAGCTACGGGTTGGACGACTTGCACTGTCAAGTTAGTATCATAGGTGTCGTTTTCCTTTTTAGTAAAACCGGTGGTAACTGAACTCGCGATTGGCTCCAGTGGTGTATAAACAGATGAAGAGAAGGCTTGATGGACCACCGGAAAACTAACAACTTGTGCGTTACTTTGGCACGTTCCTCTCATATGGAAATTTCCAAAAACATCACCACTGAAAGGGACTTCCATCGTACCAGCTGATGCTTTGAAGGCGACAAAAACCCGCGCTTGTACTGAACTGTGTTTTTCGATTCACACAAACATTAATTCAATGTAGATATGGGAAAAGAATAAAAGATACACATTAAAACTTAAGACATAAAATATGAGACATAGCAAAGAAACAAATATTTTTCTTTGTTCACTTTTATTTCATAGTCTGCGGTCATCATATAATTCAAACTAGAGTGGCTTAGTATCTAAATGGAAAGGCGTTGTGGAGTAAAATATTCAGGGAGCACTTTTATGTGAATCCGCTCAGTGATAGAAGCAGTAATTCTCAATCAAAAGTTTCCTCTTTCATCACTTCAACCGTTCTGCTATGGCTTCTAAGATATTATGACATTGTAGCGGTAAATAATTCCCCAAAATTATTAACCACAGCAATCATCACTCAACATTGGATGCTGACCATCACTGTTTAAGTCGACTTGTTTAGCTGAAGGCTTACGGTCAAGCATCCCCGCCATTTGGTGCTCCGTCGTGTCACGTGCGTGCACGATTACTAGCTAGCTAAGCATTCATTCCTACCCGCGATTTGGTCCCAAAATATATATCGTATTTGGACGACAAAATCTGGTCTTTTGCTTTACCATTTGGTACTCGAAGAACGAACACTATAGTGGTTGTTGGTATAAGATCTTGCGTTAGTATAATCCGTACAACTCGCGAACGTTCGAATACGTACAGCTCCCGTAAACTGGTGAGCCCGACCACGAACTACAGGCAACCACTAAACTGGTGAGCCCAACCTCGAACTTCATCTTCAATTCACACGCAGATAAACCCGGTGAGTTCGTTCCTTTTTGTGTTTATTCTTGTACTATATTGTTATCGGCATACTTTTCGTCATGAGTGATCCTAGCCCCAAGGTTATTCAGATTCGCTCAGCCGCCAAAACAATCCAGCTAGTACCATATTGGCCCGATAATGCTGAAACGTGGTTTCAGATTGCTGAGTCTGATTTTTGTGAACATGGCATAACTGATCAACGTTCACAGTTCCTTGCAGTTATTCACGCTCTACCGCGGGAATTCAGCAGGTGCGTAACTCTGCAGATGTCGGTAAGTAACTCGTACGAGTTGCTAAAAGCATCCATACTCAAGAGAAACGTTCTCACAGATCGACAACGTCTGGATGAGTTATTTCGTAACATCGAGTTAGGAGATAAGTCAGCCGTGAGCATGCTGGCAAGAATGAAAGAGGTCATTGGCCAAAGTCAGTTCGATGAAGGACTGTTCAGAGAACTATTTTTATCCAAACTGCCACAGTCAGTTCAGACTGTACTTGTGACACTTCAGGGTGTTCTCATAGATGATTTAGCTGTCTCTGCAGATAGAATTCTAGAGATAACGAAACGGCCAGTCACCGAAGTATACTCTGTTACCGAACAGACTTCGAAGAAGGATTCTGCAATGATAGAGTTAATCAACTCCGTCCAGCAGATGCTTAGGTCAAACAAGCCTAGCAATTCCTCCTATCGTCGTTCTAAATCCCCTCAACGGCAAAGCGCACGTGGACGATCTAAGTCCAACACACGTTCTCTCAAAAATCCTGACTGGTGTTGGTATCACAACACCTATGGCAAGGAAGCGAAATGTTGTCGAAAACCTTGTGATTTCGGCAAAACCTCCAAGTCTGTGGGAAACTATCCCGCCGGCACGCGTTAGCGGCAACCGTCGCCGGTGGCACTAGCCGCTTACTTTACATCCATGATGTAATTAGCCAGACTAGATATCTAGTCGACACAGGCGCCGAAGTCAGCGTCCTTCCTGCTACAGCAGCAGATCGACAGAAGGATCCTAACCTCAACCTACAGGCTGCAAATGGAAAACCAATTGCAACCTATGGTCGGAAATACGTCTATCTGAACGTAGGTTTACGCAAACCTATTCAGTGAATTTTCCTTCTCGCCGACGTCACAACGCCCATCATCGGCACGGACCTACTTAATCATCATGATTTGCTCGTAGGCGTCCGCCGTAAACGAATGATTGACAACACTACTTGTCTGTCTATAAAAGGCATCACCTACACAGGCCCCAGCTTGTCAATCGTTAAGATGAAAGCAATCCTCGATCCAACTTTTCAACCGATTGTTAACAAATATCCGGAACTGAATTGCCCATCTAACGACCTCCCGTGTATTACCAGCAATGTTATGCACCACATCATAACCTCAGGACAGCCCGTGACATCTAAAGCACGACGACTGGCCCCTGACAAACTGAGAATTGCCAGAAACGAATTCGATCATATGCTCACCCTTGGCATCATTCGGCCATCGAATAGTCCATGGGCATCCCCATTGCATATGGTACCGAAAAAGGATAGCAACGATTGGCGACCCACTGGTGATTACCGGCGAGTGAACGCCAAAACAACTCCTGATTGCTACCCTTTGCCTCACATACACGACTTGACGGCAACGTTATCTGGAGCATCTATATTCTCCAAAATCGACTTGGTTAAAGCGTATAACCAAATCCCGATGGCAACGGAAGATATCCCGAAAACGGCTATCATTACGCCTTTCGGACTTTTCGAATTTCTACGTATGCCATTCGGCCTCCGGAATGCGGCCCAAACATTCCAACGCTTCATCAACGAAGTATTTCGCGGTCTCGACTTTGTATACGCATACTTAGACGACTGCCTCATTGCCAGTCCAGATAAGGAAACTCACCTTAGACACTTGGACTTGGCATTTGAAAGGTTACGCCAACATAGTGTTACCATCAATATCCAGAAGTGTCAAATAGGCGTTGACTCACTCGATTTTCTGGGTCACACTATTGACTGTCAGGGCATTCGCCCACTGACTACTTCGGTCGATCACTCTAAAAAAACGCGTTCTGGACGTCACGTTAGATTCTCAGAATACCTTCACACCTATTTCACATAACTGAGTGACACATCAATTGTTTTTTGATGTTGCGTCATTTAACACTAGTAAATGATATTTTTCCTACAACCGTACATTAAATTAAATTAGATGTATATTTTTTTTCCCGATATTTTGAACTTTACATTATTTTACGGTATAGTAGATGCATGTCATATTTTTTTTGTAAAAAAAACGCTTATTTGGTACATTTTTCTTGACAAGGTTCTCAGCATTCTTGTTTTCTTTTCCAGGTGCAACGGGCACTGGACCGGAAACAAACGAAGCACGGAATCCAACGAACAACATCGAAGAAGCTATGTACAGACACCCTATTAGCATAGGCAGACAGACCAGCAGGCTCTCGATCAAGCCGCTCGGAAGATTTTTTTCACCCATCAGGGAACCATCGAGATTTTTTTACTTCCGGCTGGTCACGTCTTAGGGTCCTCACAAACCCACTAGGGGGGGAGTGAGCTGTAGCGGTAAATAATTCCCCAAAATTATTAACCACAGCAATCATCACTCAACATTGGATGCTGACCATCACTGTTTAAGTCGACTTGTTTAGCTGAAGGCTTACGGTCAAGCATCCCCGCCATTTGGTGCTCCGTCGTGTCACGTGCGTGCACGATTACTAGCTAGCTAAGCATTCATTCCTACCCGCGATTTGGTCCCAAAATATATATCGTATTTGGACGACAAAATCTGGTCTTTTGCTTTACCATTTGGTACTCGAAGAACGAACACTATAGTGGTTGTTGGTATAAGATCTTGCGTTAGTATAATCCGTACAACTCGCGAACGACGATACCCGCAGCCCCCTAAAACATGATGGAAAGGGAGAGTGGAGATGAATAAAATACTTGGAGGTTACAGTGCAAAAAATGAATCAGCAAGAAAAATTAAGCGTCCCACCTAAACAATAGTCGCCGCTGTGGCACTCAGCACATACTCCTTCAAGAATATGAAAAAACAAATATATAAAAAGGCACCCACAAAATGAGGAGGATTCCACAAGAAGGCGGAAGTTTCACTAGTGATTCTTGTAAAGTCATTGCCCATAACGATTCAGAACTGGTACGCGCCAGCATCCTGAAGTGTACTGAAGCATCTGGCTTATGATTTACATTGACACCTAGTTTCGTACACGTCTCAAGTGATCAGAGTGGTATTCCCCTAAATCATAGACGCCAACATTTGCGTGCCTGAAATGCACTCTGCTACATTGATCTCCAGCGTCTTTTCATCTAGACTGATCTGAAATTCTTCGAGATCCCCTTCCAGAGTATGTAGCTGTTATCCTTCAACTCTCTTCAAGTTTTCAAGTCGTCTGTATTGAGAAGCACCAGAGACCTAGTGATCCCAATTAGTTCATTGATATAAATGATCAGTTAGCGGAGTCACTTGGAAACACCACTGCATACGTTTGTTCAGAGAAGCAGCTTTACCCTGGTTCTGATTTTCTGTCTCCTATTTATATGGAATTCCCTGATCCGTCCGTTGATTCCACTTCCTGAGCAGTCTTGTTAGCCGTTTGTTGAAAGCCCCTATGACATCTTTGAAAACAACATGGATGATTTTCTTGTCGTTCCAGGAGTTGACCCAGATATACCTTGCTGTAACAGGGCTTGTCGGACGCGAGAGGTTTCGGTGAAAATCATGTGTTTATATCAAGATACTCCGTCATAGCTTTTATGACCACCCCTTCCGGTATCTTGACCAAGATGCTGGAAAGACCTCTGGGTCTGTAGTTTGAAAGAAATTCCTTGGAGACTCATCTTGCGAATGGGGGTTAATGTTGCATCTTTCAAATCGTGCGGTGGAGCTTCACGTGAGAAAGAGGGCATGGGTATATTACTCTTAAGCTCACTAAGAAACCCTGAGTGTACGTCGTCTGTTCCCACAGATTTCCTTATGTGTAGGTCTTCTTCGAATCGGAACACGATATTTTGGTAGATTTTGACAGAATCTAGCTCTCTTTCCCGTAGCAAAGCCACAGCTAGTGTTGAGGATGTTGGTGGATCTTATGTGAAGACGCCGGAGATGTAGACTGCTGTTTCCTTCACTTTTCTTTGATCTTCTTCGACTATATTGATGTTAATAATCAAATTTTGAACTCACTTGAAAATCCTTTTCCTGACTTTTGCGAATATGATTTTTTGCGTTGTGCCATTGGGTTTTGAGTTACATACATCTTGAGCTGCATTCGTGATCGAGGATCTCCCGCAATAGCTTTGTTTTTGTCTATAATATGCAGTTTTCCAACCTCTGACGTCTTAGGTGTAGCAAACACGCTCCGAAAATTTTGTTTGCCCTTAAGTAATCCAAAAACATCTTGGTTTATCCTTGCGGGGTAAAAGA